AGAGAAAGTAGAGAAAAAAGAAGGAGAGGCTGGAAATTGCCAGCCAATCAGACGGGTTTCAGGAAAGGGATAGGTACGACAGACAATATACCATATGTGCTAAATTACGTTGTAAATAGACAGATAAGGAAAGTGAAGGGTAAGCTGATAGCGTTTTTCATAGACCTAAGGGCAGTATTTGATTCTGTGGACAGAGGGGTGGTGATGGAAGCGTTAAGAGAGACAGAGAGAGGAGTGAGAGAAGGGCTAAGGAGAAGGATAAAAGAACTGCTGAGAGAAACTAGAAGCAGGGTAAGGACAAGCGAAGGGACAACCGAGCCATTCTGGTCGGCGAGACGAGTAAGGCAAGGATGTCCAGCCCCATATTGTATAACCTGCTAACCGCAGATATGGAAGAGGAGTTGAGGAAGGAAGGGAGAGAGGGACTCAGAATAGGGGAAAGGAAGATATACACATTCGCGTACGCAGGAGATGTAGTGTTGTTAGCGGAAGAGGAAGAGGATATGTGCTGTTATGATAGTGCTGCTTAAAAGATTAGAAAGATACTTGGATAGGAAGACACTGGATCTAACGATAAATCAGAAGAAATCAAAGGTGATGAGGTTTAGAAAAGGAGGTGGAAGATGGAAGAAAATGGATTGGGTCTGGGAGAGAAAAAAGTAGGGGAGGTATTTAGAAATGTACAAATTTAGATATTTGGGGTATACGTTCAGGAGAAATGGAGAGAATGAACTGCATATAAAAGAGAGGATTAAGAAGGCATGCATGGTGATGAGGCATAGGAGGTGTGCGGCATAGGAAAGAGAAGATTCGAAAAGGACTGGAAGAAGAGGCTGTTTGGACAGTAATGGCCTATGGGACGGAAGTGTGGGGGTGGAGGGAGTGGAGAGAGATAGAGGCGATATCTAAGATGGACAATAGAAGCGGACTGATGCACGCCAGGATATATGAGAAAGGAGGTGCAGAGACTGAAATTAAGAACAAGAGCTGGGAAAATGGCGTGGGCGTTCGAAAGAAAATTATGGGAGGGAAGAGGAAGCGAACTGGCGAGAAGCTGTAGGGAGGAAATGATAAGCGGGGAGCAAAAGGAAGGAAACTTAAGTAAATGGGAAGAGGAAGGAAGAGATACAGGAAAGAAAAAGATGGGAAAGGATAAAGGTATAAGATGGTGAAGAAGCCAGGAATACCGAAGTATTTGAAAAAACAGTGGACGGAGATAAGATGGAGAAGGGTGGCAAGATTTAGATTGGGAAACGAGGTGAAGAAGGCACAATACTGGGAGAAAGAGGAGAAAAGGAAATGTAGAGTATGTGAATGGGAAAGAGAAACATGGGAATGTTCCATATATGTATATGGGAGGGGTGCAGGATAAGCGAAGAGAGAAGAGAATGTTGTCAGGAGAAAGTGGAAGAGTTGCTGGGAAAAGACGGAGAGGGAGAGAAATGGAAAGAACAAGGAAGTGTAATAGATTGAAGGGAGGACTAAAAAGGGGAATAGAAGCTACGAGTGAAGTAACGGAAGGGAAGAAATGGAGCGAGGGACAAGGGGCGCAGAATACAAGATAGAGGTGAAAGGAGATGACAAAAAGGGAATTTGAGGAAGGTAAAGAGGAAGGAGTATGAGAGGAGGAAACGAGAGGAAGACAGGGGATAAAAAGCCAACGGAGAAACAGGCGCATTGTAATAGAAGGAAAAACAAAGAAGAAGAAGGAAGAAGGAAGGAATGAAATAAGGCTATAGGAGGCGGGTAAGCGAGAGACCGACAATATCGGCAGGACGAAGAGATGGGATATGGATAAGCAACAGGTGGTGGCGACACTTGAGAGACAGATAGTAGGTTGACAACGCATGTAAAACACGTAGCGAGCGAATTTACCAAGGCGTAGTGTAGCCATTACATGCTAATTGTAATCCTGAAACAACGAAGAATAACGTAGAAGTTAAGAAAGCGGGGAGAAGCAATAGAAAGGAGGTTAAAAGTGACAGAAAGTGTTAAGTGATAAGAAAAGTGTCAGGATGGAGTGAGAATGGCGAGAGGAAATACTGAAAGAGTTGAAAAAGATAGGAAAGAGTATAGGAGAAATAAAGGAAGAGATGAAAGGATGGAGAATAGGGAACAATCAAAGGGAACAAGGGAGAAAAGATAGGGAAAGAGTGGAAAATACAAGAAATATAGGAGACAGTGAACATTGGGAAACTGAGGAAGAGGAGACAAAGAACGAGGAGAAGAAAAAGACAAAGGCGGCAGAAGGGAAAAAGAGTGATGAAGAGAGGAAGTTGGACGAAGAGGAAGTTCGGCGGCGGGGGGAGGAAGACGAAAAAAATGATGAAGAAGTGTTGTGTAGGAAAGAAGAAAGCAAGAAGGAAATAGATGACAACGACGAAAAAGGAACGAAGGAAACGAGAGCGAGGGGCGAAGAGGAAAAAGGAAAACGCGAGGAGAGCAGGGAGGACAAGGTAAGAAAAGAGTTGGAAGAAGGAAGAATAGAAAGATGGGAAATGAATCGTGAGAGAGGAGAAACGGGAGAAAAAGAGGAGGAGAGAAAAGTAGAGGAAGAAAGAAATGAGGAAAGAGAAAAGAAGGATGGAAATGAGGACAAGGACAAGAAGACAGAGAGAAACGCAGAAAAAAGAAAGAAAGAGAAGGAGGAAGAAAAGGAGAAAAAAGAAGAGGAGGAAGAAAGGGAGAAAAAAAGGTTGAAGATCTGCAGGACAAAGAGAGAAGGAGTAAAAGAGAATAGTTGGGAGATGGAGGAAGAGGAGAGGGGGGCCATGAGAGAGATCAAGGAAACAGGAAGGAAGAGTGATGAAGAGGAAATGGGGAGAGGAAGGTGGGATAAAGAAGGGAAGTTGACAGCAGGGAAAAGAGAGACGGAAGAAAAAGGTGGAGAAAAGAAAAGGATGAAGGATAATGAAGAAAATGAAAAGGAGAAAGCGGCAGGAGAAATGAGCACATGGAGAAAGGGAATTGAGGGGAAAAGGGACAGCAATTGGAACTGGGCTGAAGACGTAGAAGAGGCAGAAGAAGAAAAGAGTGGAAAAGAGGAGAATAAAGGGAGGCTGGAGTGGGATAGAAAGAAGAAAAGGAAAAACTGGGGGACTGAGAGAGAGAGGAAGGAGGAAAGAGTGAGAAGAGAGAGGAAGAGAAGGAATTTAGTATGGAGAGGCATAGATGGAGAAAGTAAGGAAGAGAGGATGAGGAAATTAAAGGGAATAATGGAAATGGAGTTAAGAAGAAAGGTGATAATAAGGGGGGTGGAGGAAAGGGAGGGAGACAGGGGAAGAAAGATAATGTTAGCAATTTTGGAGAAGGAGAAGGACAAAGAAGATCTGTTGATGAGAAGAGAGAAGATAAGGCGAGATTGGAAAGTTTGGGTGGATGATGACTTTACAAGGGAGGAAAGAAAGCTGAGATGGCTAGTCAGAGAAAAGGCAAAGCGGGAAAGAGCATTGGGGAAATGGGTCATGTACAGAGGCACAAGATTATGGATAGAGGGAGAAGAATGGATATGGATAGAGACAATGAGGACATGGGCAAGGAGGACAAGCGGGGTGGAGTGGAGAGTGAAAAATAAGAAATAGGAAGAAAGAAGAGAGAGGAAGGGTAAGACGGAGAAGGGAAACACTGGAAGGAGAAGAGGAAGGAAGAGGGATAAGAAATAAAAACAAGGAGGACAAAGGAGAGTACAGTGAGAAGGAGGAAGAGGAAAGGGTAAGGGGAATAAAAAGAGGGGTGGGAGAGGAGACAGATCACAATCTTACACATAAGGTTTTACAAAGTCATGTTAAAAATTGGTAAAGGTTGGGACGCTACTAAAAAGCGTGTATGTAACCCATAAGGGAGTGATTAGTGTTTATTGAATAGTGTTTAGGTTTGAACAGCGTTATAAAATAAACGGCATTAATGATACACAAAAACGAAGGAAACTACCTTTTCAAATAAATAAAAAGGTGGTTTTTAAACTTGTACACCTGCAATCAAATTAGGCTTCTCCAAAGTAAATGGCGATGTTTCGTACCACCTAACTTGAACATCTTGAATATCTTGCTTACTTTTTCTAATAGAGAAAAATGTCAGACGGAAACATTATTTTATTCGAAAGTGCAAATATTATGATGGTTAAGAAATTTTTTTCAAGATCATTTTTCCGAGATTTCAAGGTCATTGTAGTTTTTTTGAATGGGATAACATATTTTCATCATCATGGCATGATTACTGAGGTCAAGACAACCTATGATACTGTGACCTTTATGTGACCTTGAGTATAAAAAATTCATAAAAACTAGATAACTGATAGACAGAGTGAAATAACTGATAGAAAGATTAACGGAGGAAATTTTATTATAACAAGTGTTGAAAATGATGTCCAGCAGCTTCGATGCAAATTTCTAAACGATTAATCTATCTATCAGTTATTTCACTTTATCCGTCAGTTACCTAGATTTTATGATTTTTTTATACTCAAGATCACATAATGTTAGGTTTTTGGATTCGTCTTGACCTCAGTTATCATGCCATTATAATGAAAATATGTTGGCCCATTAAAAAGGACTACAATGACCTTAAAATCTCGAAAAAAATGATGTTGAGAAAAATTTATTAACCATCATAATATTTGCCCTTTCGAACAAAATAATGTTTCCCTGTGACATTTTTCTCTATCATAAAAAATAAGCAAGATAGTCAAGATGCTCAAGTTATGTGAGACACCCTGTATATAGAAGCCACATCACTTGCGTATAAAAGATTACGCGGAAAGAATTAATATTTATTTCATATTCATATTTCTTAGTTCTATATTAAATTTTTATAATATGTAATAATTACTATTTCTTTTTCAAAATTTACTTTCCACATTAAAATTGTCAAAATTAAGAATTTGAGAATTTCTGCCTTTCCTAGAATAGCCTGATTTGATCGTTAGTATACTGTTATTCAACTCACTGATTTAATTGATTTCTTTTGCCAAAATCTAATATCTTTTTAACTTTTTTTCTTAGATTATCACTTGATATTAATATGACAAAATGGACAGGAGGTAATGGTGAAATGTATATTCCTCGAAGTTTGTGCAGTGAGAACTGTCCGCTGGGCCATGTTCGTAGTTTTCAGGTAAGAATCAAAGAAATTGTTTATTGTACATAATTTTCTGTTTTACATTTGTTAATAGAACATACAGCATATGTCATTGTTTAAAAAAATGTGGGTTGTAAAAATGATAAATTCTTGATGATAATCAAAATTCACCAACTTGCGTTGTGTGGTAATTATTGTTAATAGGTATATTAGTAATCAATATGTTCTCTTTTCTTACACTTTCGCCGAATGCTTAAGCTTATTTTTCCTCGCACTTATTCTGAATCGCTAAGCTGGTATTCTACAGAGAAGGATCCCCTAGGAAACGCTCCCCATTTATCAACAATACCCTACATCCCTTTTCCAACCTGTGGGATTAAATTTAAGTGCGGCGCTTCCGTATTGAATGAGTTTTGGCTCGCCAATTTGGCTTATCTGTTGCTTCTTCGATGCGGGAACATTGTTCCCTCGCTCTATAGCGGTATCTTGATTAGGTCTTCCAATACCTCAGTGAATAGAACTTACAGGGAAGATTATTTATCTTCTCCGATTTTTATGCAATTTTGTAGGTTTGTAGAACAACCAAGAATATGAGACATGTATTTTCTTAAAACATGAATTTTTTTGAAAAATCACAATCCCGAACCCGGTAATTCAAAAAATTATGAAACTTTATGAATATATAGGGGATGTCCTCATTAAAACGCAATTTTCTTTTGCTGCTTGTTTTCAGTCTAAAGGGGTGAAAATCGCCCTTAAAATTTCGGTCGTGTTTCCTTTTTTTTCTTTTTCTTCGAAACCGTGAGAGATATGGACAAATTTAATGAGCAAAAGTTGTTCGTTTTAATGAATAGTATATTTTGGAAAATTATTAATAGAAAAATTTTAAAACTCTTGAAAAATTCTAAAATTTTTCATGGAGATAGAAAATGACCTGTTATTTAAAACATTTTAATGTTCGATTACTATTTGCCATTTTAAGGGAGTGAAAGATATAAAAAAGTTTTTGGGGCAATTATTGTTGTTTTTGGTCCGAACTATCATTTTCTCTAGATAAAAGTTTATATTTATTTACACGATTAAATATTGTTATAAAAAATTATTTTTACATTACATTCTTTTTACCTTTTTATCTCATACTGATTCATATTAGTTAATATTATCTGTAGGAACCCGACGCTGACGGATAAAGAGAGCTCATGAATCCGTTACGCGAACGAAGAAACGTAGCAAGAAATGTAAACCATAACAGCTGATAGGAGTTCGTGAACTCTCCTAACCGTGTCAATCTCGAACGGATGAACGTATGCGTGTGTGCATGAGCGTCAACGACGCTTTGCTCGTTGCTCAAGAAAAACGTTAGCACCTGCAGAACGATCGGCGGGCGTTACATATGTGCGTACATACCACTTTTTCGCCCATTTTAATTTTTTTTTTTTTTTTTTCCTATGTACTCACTGAGATCGGTACGAACACCACTTTTTGGACCGTTTTAGTTTTTGACCCCTGCGGAGGCGGCGGGTGGGATGACCACCGTTGGAATCCCCACCTCAAGGGCTATCTACCATCATGGTAAAAAAATTAGCTCGATCGGATGTTACCCCGTTTTCCGTTATTTAAACGAAATTTTTGTCTCTTCATCGCCTCTACGAATTATACATCGAGATGTGTAACTTGGTAGAATTCTACCTTGTTTAATGTGCTTTATTTTAACATAGCTAACGAATTTTTTGAGAATGTGTAGGAAAGGAACTATTAAAGATAGAATGTTAAGATTTGTTACACATATGTATATACTGGGTGTTCAGAGATTAACTAGCCAGCGTTTTTTCGTAATTGATTGATATGAAAAAAAAATGAAAAAGGGAAAAGTCATAGTGTTTTTTATAAACAACGTAACAAAGTATGTAAATTTTTCGTGTTTACACTATTTTCTGAGAAATGTAGGTGACCTTCAGTTTTTTAAATGGAATGGTATATATTTTTTATATCATATGAAAGCGCGTATCGAAACGAATTCAACGATGTACCATATCATGACCTTCAGACTCACTCAGAGTCAAGAACAAAAGAAATATTCCGAATATTTCGTATTACTGTACTTACCAATATTCCTTATTGATATGTTTACATTTCATGTTCAATATAACTTCCATTAGCTAGAAAGCACTTTTGGTGGTTTTATGTTATGATTAGGTCTGTGTTAGTGTTTACTTTTATTACAAGGTATGCAGAATTATTTGAGCATTAGTTCACAGAGCGTTTGCTGATATTTAGTGCGATGTATCGTTATTCGACAGAAGAGAAGATAGATATGGTGCGTATTTATTACGAGTGCGATAAAAATAAAAGTCGTAGCAAATTAAAGTACCCAGAAGAATTTCCAAACAGAGTGATACCAAATGAAAATGAATTTGTTTTGGTGGTGAAACGTTTAAGTGAAACGGGTTCCGTAGAAAATAAGAAGCATCATTATCGGAAAACTTTGTCCGAAGAAAAAAGTTAGAAGTTTTATTGCATTTTGAAGAAAATCCATCAACATCAATACGAAAACTAGCTACCGCTTGTGATATTTCCATTGGTCCAACCCATAAAATTTTAAAATTACATGGTTACAAACCTTTCAAATACCACATGGTACAGGGACTAAAAGAAAGTGATTTACCATGACGCGTAGAATTTTTTAATTGGCTACTTACGAATGATAGAAACGACTGTAGTTTCTATAAAAAAATACCTTGGACTGATGAGACAAGTTTTGATAATAATATGATGCCTAACCATTATAATACTCATGTCTGGAGTACTGAAAATCCAAAACGGAAAAGAGAAATAAATTTTCAAGTACAATTTCATACTAATGTCTGGTGTGGTGTGATTAATAATGTACTCTTGGGAACTTATATTTATAGTGGAACACTGAATGGTGCCGGATATTTAGAATTTTTGCATACACATTTTCGAACTTACTGGGAAGCATTGCCATTATCCATTGTTAAAGACTTTTATTTTCAACAAGATGGTGCCCCACCTCATAATTATAGAGCAGTGTCTTTCTTAAACAGTATGTTTCCAAACAAATGGATTGGAACGTACGGACCTGTGATAAACAGGTCCTTGGTGGTGATGGCCACCAAGATCCCCACATTTGTCACTTTTGGATTTCCCTTTATGGGGTACTGTCACAAATATCGTTTACAATACACCACCTTCAAATATCAACGATTTAATGCAAAAGATAACAAACGCATGTGCATCAACATCTGAAACAACAATAGCAGAAGGCACCAAAAGTGTATTGTACAGGACACAAAATTGTATCCTAGCTAATGGAGGCCACATTGAACATGAAATGTAAACATATCAATAAAAAATACCGGTAAGTAAAGTAATACGAAATATTCGAAATGTTTCCTTTGTTCTTGACTCTGAGTGGGTCTCAAGGTCATGATATGGTACATCGTTGAATTCGTTTCAACGCATTTAAAAAACTGAAGGTCACCTTCATTTCTCAAAAAATAATGTAAACACGAAAAATTTATATACTTTGTTACGTTGCTTATAAAAAACACTATCACTTTTTCCTCTTTCATTTTTTTTTTTTTTTTCATATCAATTAATTACGAGAAAAACGCTGGCTAGTTAATCTCTGAACATCCTGTATACTTATTGAATAAAAAAAAAGATCGCCAGTTTATTTTGAGCTGTAGAAGCGATGGGAGGGTGACTTCTGTCACAAAATTGATGACTACCATCTTGCTTAAGGAGCACCTATTCTCCTATTAGAGTGGAAATCAAATTGCCCGCATCCAATTCCGTCACGAGCTTTCCTTTTATTCCCTCTCATCAATTACATCTGATGAGGGTGTGCTCACAATCAGTATTGTCTGCTTTTTCATTGTCAAAAAGAAATTTAAGGTCTTCCTATTTCTCAATGTGCTATAAGTGCGAGCCGAAGTAACTTCCCTCATTGTCAGTTAGCCACAGTGGTCGACAAATGTCTGATTGCAAACGTGTTAAAAATTATAAAAATTACATTGCATTCGTGCATTGTTTCTACATAGATAAGTACTTCGAACAATTTGCAAACCACACGACCGTGTCCATTTGATAGTAAAACTCACGTGATAAGCTGTTGAGAGCTTTCTTTGCAAGTGGACACTGTGTTGAAAATAATTGTTAGGCAGTTTGGAACAACTTTTAATTAGGTATGCACACGAACTTGCCCGTAGGACGCTCGCATGCCCCTGTGCCCGTGCCTCGTGCCCGTTTTATTACTTGCTGTGAATGGCTGCCCTTATTGTTAGCACACTATCCACTTGCAAAGAATTCAACACGTACGCGCGTAAGTTTTACTCCCGAGTTAATAGGTAAAGCAATTAGACAGTAAAGCGCTGCATGGGAGGAGCTCTTTCTATATTGCCACTCCCAAGAATTTTCTGCTCCTATAGGCGATATATGTAACGAGATGTTGGGTGTGGCAGTGCCGAATTACCCCGGTGGCCGATCGATTCGAGCTTTGGATGGGGGAGAGCGAGGAGGGGGAAGACCCCAAATATAAAATAGTATCCGCAGCAGTCTGTTAGTTTCAAAGATGTTAGTTAAAAACTTTCGGCATAATACATAGAATTCTGCTTATACAGACGTAACTAACACAATCATCTCTGCTATAGTAACCACCGTCATTAAGTGATGAGCAACTGATGACAGAAGAGGGGCCCATGACCTAAGTATCTGTAGGGTGTCCCATATGTATAAAACACATTATTTTGTAAACTGTAGCTCACGTTTACTTTAACCTCGTCGTTTTACTCGTTTTGACGTGTTGAATACGGATATGATTTTCATTTCTGGTGGAAATAACAAGGTGCCGAAATACTATTCGCAAACAACTTTCTTTCTAAGACAGAATTTTACACAAGAATGTGGACCTACAATACAGTCACAAGCATAGTTATCTTCTGTTTGTATGCGTATAAGTGGCGAATTTACCACTTATACAGGGTGTCCCAGAACTCGCGTTGGTCCCATGAAGGGGTGGTAACTCGGGTAATTCTGAACAACCTTCTCCTTTGCAAAAAAATTGTTTGAAGCTTCGTTTTTGAATTATTAAGGAAAAACACTGCCTAATCCGAGCGCGTATAGCGCGCGGGCTCAGGAACGGCAGCGTCGGCTACGAAAGCGGGGCTTGACGTAGATCGTGAATGAACGGCTCGGCACCCCGTTGGCATAGCACAATAAAAAAATTGAACTGGTTCAACATTTTTAGTTGTTGTTTAAAATGAATACGAATCTTGTCGCCTGTCATAATGTAAAAAAGGAAATTCTAAGGATTCTAAATAACAAATAAAAATGTTTGAAATGGAATAATTAATAAAAATTTGAAAACAATTGAAATAAAACTTACCCATTCGTTCCTAAATTAACCTGCTATGCTGAAAGCAAATAATTCCCACTGGGTCAATGTGTCGATCTTGAACATTCGAGGAGGGAACAAATTATGAAGAACAGCTGATCTCCAGACGAGATCATTGAACTCACTCAACCACGCGGTCACTATCACTTTTCACAGAATTTTCTTTCAGGTAAATAAACATTTTTATTTGCTGTCACGTTGCTATTGCACTCGACACAAATGAAAAACATGTAATATTCCGCACTACAGTAAAAGCTGGATATACAGAATTGCCTCGAAATAAGCAAGTGGCTCAGGACCGAACAGTTGCTTATTTCGAAGCAGGTATGCTATTCGGCTTGACTTTGTTCTCGAAACGGGACGATAGAGAACGCGAGAAACGGGTGAGAGATCCGAGGTAGCGGCAAATCATAAAGTGATCGGCCGAGCAGCGATCTTATTTTTTGAACAAGGATAGAATATAGCATGCCCCCTCATTCTCGCACTATGCTTTATTTCGAAGCAAATATACCAGACTGAGAAAGCATTATATATATTCCATCCTTCTTCTATTAACCGATGTCACTGCTCAATCGAGCGTGAAATTTATTACCCTAAACATCGGCTTCGCGCTTTCATGGACCTCTCACTCATTTCTCGTACCGCTCACTTTGCGAGCGACTTCAAACAAAGAAGAGGGGATAGCGAGTTGCTGATTTCGAAGCAGAGACCACTTGCTTATTTCGAAGAAATACTGTATGCAACAAACATTGGGACCCAGACGTTGCATATATCCAGCCGAGGTGTCGAATCTCGGGTTACACGCGACGACCAGCCGAACGTGAACGTAGAAAAGGACAGACAGTGGCGGAAAGAGAGAGGTCCGATGATCAAAGGAAAGAGCCGAAACGTATCGGTGTGACTAATACTAATTGAATCACAAAACTTTTTTATTTTTGACTTTTTTTTAATGAAACTTTTACTAGCGCATTGGTGAGATTTTTGTGATTAAAGTGGTACCAAACACGATATAGTTTCAATTATAATTACTTGCTAAAATTGATGTTAAAAGTTGGCGAAAAGCAAAGGAGGGTTGGAAATGAAAACCAGTTGCGGTTCTGCTTTCAAACGTTGCATATATCCAGCCGAGGTGTCGAGTCTGGGCATTTAATGTTGCATATATCCAGCCGAGGTGTCGATTCTGGGCATTTAATGTTGCATATATCCAGTAGAGGTGTCGATTCTGCGTCCGTACACATCGTTTGTATTCAGCCGCGATACCTATTCTACGTTCGTACGCAACATGCGACGTGTTGCATGTTGCGTGTTTGATGCATCTTTGGTGCACGGCCTGCCTTATGTTTGGTATCATTTTAATCAGAAAAATCTCACAAATGCGTTAGTAAAAGTTTCATTAAGAAAAAGTTAAAAATAAAAAAGTTTTATCGTTCAATTAGTATTAGTTACACCGATATTACGGTCGGATCATATTACACGGTTTCCTCGTCGAGCGGCTCGGTTTGCCTAGGGGGATCCCCCCAAGTGGAGGGGATAGCGATGTTGCATATATCCAGCCAAACTTTTGTTGCATATATCCAGCTTTTACTGTACTTCGTAACGTTTCCACGTCGTTATTGGTCTTCCTTACCAATTTCAAATGGAACTGCCAGCTTGATTGTTGCGAGGTCTGTTTCGCTTTTTGTCTTTTTCTACATTCAGAAATAAGTCATGGTTCCTGATCATGAATCTGTTATTCTCGATAACCAAGAGTAACCGAGAGAGACTCGTGTCGACACTTTGAAGTCACCGAACATAGAAAAGGTCAAACAACAAAACAGAGCTCGCAACATTCAAGCTGGCAGTCCCATTTGAAGTTGGAAAAGAAGAAACGTCGTGAAAACGTTACGAAGTAGTGCCGAATATTACATGTTTTTCATTTGTGTCCAGTGCAATAGCAACGTGGCAGCGAATAAAAATGTTTATTTACCTGAAAGAAAATTCTGTGAAAAGTGATAGTGACCGCGTGGTTGGGTAAGTTCAGTGATCTCGTCTGGAGATCAGCTGTTCTTCGTAATTGGTTCCCTCTTCGAATGTTCAAGATCGACACATTGACCCAGTGGGAATTATCTGCTTTCAGCATAGCAGGTTAATTTAGGAATGAATGGATAAGTTTTATTTCAATTGTTTTCAAATTTTTATTAATTATTCCATTTCAAACATATTTATTTGTTGTTTAGAATCCTTAGAATTTCCTTTTTTACATTATGACAGGCGACAAGATTCGTATTCATTTTAAACAACAACTAAAAATGTTGAACCAGTTCAATTTTTTTATTGTGCTATGCCAACGGGGTGCCAAGCCGTTCGTTCGCGACCTACGTCAAACCCCGCTTTCGTAGCCGACGCTGCCGTCCCTGAACCCGCGTGCTATACAGTAAAACCCGGATAAATGCAACAAAAGAATGCTTGGATAAGTGCAACATCGCTACCCCCTCCACTTGGGGGGGATCCCCCTAGGCGAACTGAGCCGCTCGACGAGGAAATCATGTAATATGATCCGATCGTAATGTCGGTGTAACTAATACTAATTGAACGTTAAAACTTTTTTATTCTTAACTTTTTCTTAATGAAACTTTTACTAACGCATTTGTGAGATTTTTCTGATTAAAATGACACCAAACACGATATAGTTTGAATTATATTTATAAACAATAGTAATAGAATAAACAACATAGAATTGACACCACGACTGACGGGGCCAGGGGACGGGGACAATCCACAAGGGTACTTCGGTACTATATCCGTGATTTTCTATAAATTTTTATGTAATCAGATGCAAATGTCTCAAATCAATTTTATATTAAAATACGTATTACTTTATATCCGTGATGACACTTTCAGGAACCTTGTTGCTGGAGTTGCATAGCATGCCCCGAAGATGCATACGTTTTCAACGATACTTGTCCCAGATGCAGTTCAGGCTACGCTCCGGATGAAACAATGACCAGCTGTATCAAACTCACAGCTGAAGTAATTCCGTGGTCTAGTCCATGGGCATTAGTACCGCTGATATTCGCATCCATTGGTATACTCAGTACCTTGTTCACTACGGTGGTCTTCATTCGGTAATATTTTTTGAATTATAAACCTCGGATGACAATTTCAAAAATATAGGGTCATCCACTTAAAGCTGATCCTATCAATGATAAGAGCAGATGAGAATGACAACAACGCTTCAAGTACTATCTGTCTGCGAGAAGATGGCAAGCGCGATAGCACAGAGATGGGGAGGGATATACAGTGTGTCCCGCGTAACTGGAAACACTCAATTATTTCCTAAACTATTAAAGATATAAGAAATTGCTGTGGTGGTCATTGCATGGTAAGAGCAATGCGTGTATACACTTGATTTTCATTTGTTTTCGAGATATTACGCTAACAAATTTGGAGATTTTTCACGGGAAAAATTCACTTCAGTGGGAAATATCAGCAGGGATCTTGTTCTCGTCTAAAGTTTGGGCCTGCCGTCCCGCTGGACGCCCGTGGTATCCATTTCAAGCGGTACTGCTTAACACGAGGCACTTCACGCACGAACAGGACCCCTGCTGATATTTTCCACTGAAGTGAATTTTTCCCGTGAAAAATCTCCAAATTTGTTAGCGCAATATCTCGAAAACAAATGAAAATCAAGTGTATACACGCAAGCTTAATGAATTCGACTTCAAAAACACTATCAAATGATCGAAAGGAAAATATGTAGTTCCATTTAAAAAACCAAACTTTGCCATTATATTTTTGAAAGTAACAATGCAAAAAAAAATTCGTCTACGTCAAAATGTTGCCCCCTCTTACCATGCAATGACCACCAAAGCAATTTCTTGTATCTTTATTAGTTTAGGAAATAATAGAGTGTTTCCAGTTACGCGGGACACACTGTATAATTATACTTTGCTCTACTTATCCCCGCCTTTAACATTTTCAGCACGAACTGCGAATTTAACGTTCTATCTCACTTGATCTTCGCATCACCCATAAGTCCCTTCGTTACGTGACCAAGATGCATGAAGACGTGACGGATTTGCAAATGTAACAGATTCGGCCAATAGCGATAATACATGTGAATGAGGGTGAAACTACATAGCTCGAATGTAGAGTAGGCTTTGATACACCAGTCAGGCCCGCATTCCTTTGCCTTGCCATCATCTCACAGGCAGACAGTATAAACACAACCACGATCAGTGGTTGACGACTCACTCCAAACGCGACTTGGTCCGCCCACACCCCATCGCCGATGAATTTGGTTTTAAGTGTATGACCCTATGTAACAATTATTCTTATATCAAAATGTCTACTTCAAAATGAATTATTTAATAGTTTTAATAAAAAAAGAGTAATTGTTACAAGGAATTAGAGGTGTGTGGATACCCAAAATTTCGGGAGCTCGGATCTGGTCGGATAAAATTGAACGAGCTCGAACGGGTACCCTAGACATGCGAATATTCACTCAGGTAGACTAACACAATCAGGCCAATTCAGAAAAAAATCAGCCAAGTTGCTTCAATAACCGTGATTCGATTCGACCCAACGGCGACTGCTCGATTGCTCGACATATACTATACAAGTACCCGCGCACCTCTATAAGGATCACGATCCACATTTTAAAACTTAATTAATATTTATATATATCGTATAAAATTTCTCAACTGGTTTATTATATTTCAGTTTTAATCGAACTCCGGTAATCATGGCATCGGGACGTGAATTGTGTTACGTATTATTAATAGGAATTCTGTCATGTTACGGTATGAGTTTCGTTATACTAAGCAAACCAACAACCTGGAATTGCACCTACCTGAGAATTGGTTTGGGCTTATGTTTAAGCATTTGTTATAGTGCGATATTAACGAAAACAAACCGGATGTCTCGCATATTCAATCAAGGAACAAAGAGCATAAAAAGACCATCTTATACATCACCGAAGAGTCAAGTGGTGATTGCTATTGGTGAGTTTACACTTTTTCAAAGACAGTTTTCATCTTTTTTCAATTTTTAATATAACAAACATGACACAGGTTTATATGAACTCTTGTCATTCACTTTTGTGACTCCGTTTGCCATTAAAGTGGCAAACTGGGAACCTTGATATGCTATTATGCGATTCCCGTTTTTATAGGGATAACTGCAGTGCAGTTAGTTGGCGCTATAGTTTGGCTGATTATCAAACCACCTGGCACCACGGAAATTCATCCGTATCCGTTGTCAGCAGTACTCACGTGCCGTGTTTCCACATTCTCTTTAATGATGTCCCTTGTATATAACATGTTCTTGATACTTATGTGTACCTTATACGCATTCAAAACACGTAAGATACCTGAGAATTTCAACGAGGCGAAATACATCGGTTTTACAATGTACTCAACTTGCATTGTATGGTTAGCTTTCGTGCCTATTTACTTTGGCTCGAACAATGACTACAAGGTCGGTATTTCTATAGGTATTTGCAAACATGAATTGTTTTGAAATTACAGTAGGACCCCGTATCTGCGGACGTTTGGTTCCAAAATCTTCCACGGATACCGAAATCCGCGGATAGTAGCGAATGTACATACAGGGTGTCCCAGAAAGAGTGTTAGTCCTTTAAAGGGATAGTAGCTGAGGTAATTCTGAACATTTTCCTTTTCAAAAATGTTGTTTGAAGCTTTGTTTTTGAATTATTAAGGAAAAACATTGGCCAATCAGAACGCGCGGGCTCAGGGAAGGCAGGGTGCCGAAAGTATTCGTTCGGGTCAAACCCAACTTTCGTAGTCGAGGCTGCCGTCCCTGAGCCCGCGCGCTATACGCGCTCTGATTGACCAGTGGTTTTCCCTAATAATTCAAAAACGAAGCTTCAAACAACATTTTTGCAAAGGAAAATGTTGTTCAGAATCACCCTAGCTACCACCGCCTTAAAGGACTAACACTCTTTCTAGGACACCCTGTATATGTACAGCATTAAACAAAGTAGGCTTTCCTAATCCTACTTTTAGTAGTCCTTGAGGTACCTCAGACGCGTGTCGTATGAATCGCACCCCATGAATGATGTGGAAACCTATTGATACGAGTGTAGCCCTAATGCACCCTGAAAAGTTCATACGGCACACGCCTGAGGTGTCACGGCGACTATGGCCCTCGCGCCGGGCATGGAGAGTAGTAGGAAAAAAGGGGCGTAACTTCTGAATAAAATTGGCCAAAAAGAGCAGTTAATTCCGAGCCCTGCTCTAAGAACACCTACCATGCCCGGTACTGTATGTACTATGCAGAGATAAGAAGATGATGAGCGGAAGGAATGCGGGCACGATTGGTCGTCGTCGGTAAGTGACACATCAGGCACATGCACTCTAGATCGTCGCGCGCTATTGGCCGATGAGGTCACATACTAATCGCGTCACCTGACAAAAACGAAACAAAGTGAGATAATACGAAATCTGCCTTGCGGTGAATTTTAAACGATGAGTGTAGGCTTGTATTATAGAGTTCTGTCTATAATAGCACTGTCTCCCTCGGAAATACGGAATTGCTACGCCTATGTAAGAGCGTACCACTAAAGTCGAATGGTGTGGATTACGCGAGGATCAAATGTGGGGACAGGGCGGAGCGTACGAAGTGCTCCCTTTGCCCCTGTGCCGTCCCGCTCGTCAACTTCTCATCTCTGCATAGTACTTATGTATGTATCTAACATGCTGTACATACCTACGATCATATTTCATTTATTATGTGACGGTGCACATGAACTTTTAGTTACTCGAATTATTAGTTTTATTATAATATAATTTTATTACATTATTATTCATACATAACGTGTTTCAAGTGTTGAAATAAAAACAATTAAATATAATAGAACGAAAAATAGTTAGGTAAATGTGGATTTTTTCTAAAATAATATCTAGTATGAACATTGCACTAAATACTTATTTTCTAAGCAGAATTATGCAGACTTATTAGAGGTCGAGTACATAAGTAAACAAATTTGTTTCATACTTCTGTGAATTGCGAATAAGTGAAACCACAGATAAGGGGATCCTACTGTATTCCCAATATATGTATAGTACTATGATATAATTAGTGAATTTTTGTCTATTGTGCTATTTTTAATTAATAGACATCTCTTATTTTCACTCTTCATCATATCTTTCATTATTAGTACCAAAAATCTAGTATTTAAATGCTTATTTATGAACATTATTTAAACATTGATTAAAATATCAATATTTGATAAGCATTGATTAAAACCAAGCATGAGACGTTGTTATCTTAAGCTTATTTCATTTTGCAAATTTAGAGGTCAACAGCAGTGACGGCTCAAGTCTAAATTGATCTTGGAGGCCTCATACGGAGGAACCGAGAAACTCCGGACAATACTTATGTCTCTTGTACGGATCAAAAAAGACAGCATGATTATCAAGTAACAATGTTTACATAAAACGATTCTTTAGTGATTTCGTAGTTCAAAGATTTTGAGGCGAAGAAGCTGTATCTATTCATAATTCTTTTGTAAAAATATTCTTTGTATAATTATACAGAGTTGTTCAGAGCCCCATTTTGTCCTGTGGCTTTTAAAACCTTGTAAAATGTACGTTTCTATAGAAAAAAATTTTTACAATTTTTCTCAAAAAGCGCCTTGCACGTTGATCGGTAAATTTTTGCTTATTATGAATATCATAATCGTTACACGTTTCTCTCCAAATCGTGTCCGAAAAACGTGAATTACTTTTCTATGATTCACTGCAACTCCGCTAGAGGCGCTAGTGTCACTCCTGTTAACTTTTAAAGCGAAACTTGAAGCATTGTTACCTTCAGTTGATTTCATTTTTTAAACCTAGGACAAAGAGCAAATGAAGGTAAATTTTCAGGTACAGATAGCGAGTATGTGTATGTGCATCAACATTTCTGCTTCGGTAGCTCTTGGTTGTCTGTTTACGCCAAAGGTATATTTGGTACTTTTTCAACCGTACAAGAACGTTCGACCTGGACATGCCAATGTAAGTAATATCTTTCTAAATGTACAAATAAAAACAAGAACCTAATAATAATTTTAACACGTTCACGCCGGCACGTACCACCGGTAGCTCACGCTCGAGTTTCCCATCGAGCGACGCCACCGTCGCCCCACGGCGAGACACCCAAAAAGCAGCGCTGGCGTGATCGTGTTGAGAAAGATGCTGATTTTTATAAAAATTTATTATTAGATGTGCATAAACTTGTTTTTTAAGATGCTAATTGATAACAAGGCCAGGACTACACGGCCGTTTCACACGCCGCGTTTTCTCCGCCAAAATGGACCCGTTGATTACACGAGCATAAAAAACACTGAAACGCTCTGACGCGATCGCAACACGCTGACTGTCGCGTATCACACGTTGGGACAAAACAGACATCGTGTGAAATGTCAGTAAAACGCTTATCCTTACTTTGGCGCAGAAAACGTGGAATGTAAATTCAGTTTCATGTTCCATGTTCTATTTTGTAGTCTAATACAGTTCTTGACCTAAACTCATTGGTGCTACAAAAGATCCCCGTTATATTGCCGCGGTAGAAATGGAAAATTTTTCAAGCTTTCAAGCTTTTATTTTAAAGGGGAGAAAGAAATAGAAGTATATGTATCATCCTTATAGGCTATAATGGTAGAATAGCGGCATTAGCATGCTTTATAATCCGTGTTGAGGTTAAAACGTTCACGTAGCAATATAACGAAAGTTTACTATACCTAATTACGTCTATGTCTAAGAGTCTAAACCAGGAATTTACATTTTGACTTTTAAAAATTCCTATAGTGTCCCCCGGCCTCATTGTACCCTGGGCGTGTTAACTTCATTTTTAGAAATGCCGACATCATAGATAGGCACTGATGCCATCATTTCTGAAAATTAAGCTTATTTTGTTAATAAAGAGATAATTTGAGTTCATCATTCAGTGTTTGTATTATCATAAGTTTCTTACATGCGGCCCGCACAACATTTTTAAATTTGTAGCTGGCCCATTCTAAAAAAAGGTTGTTCATCCCTAGTCTAAACCATGTTTGACAAGTGTATTTAAAATTTCAATGTATCTTCATATGTATTCAATACACAATTTCAGACTGGGGCGCTCCAAAGCAGTAATCGTGTAGCGTACAGTATGCGATTCTCTGGCGGTCGGAGTCAAACGATGCAGAGTATGACCTCGTGTTCACGGAGCAGTCCACCGGCATCGCGTATAGGTCACGATGAAGTGAAACATTCCAACGGTGAGACACAAGCCCTGGCGAGCCCATCTGTCGAGGAGACCTCGGTAAGCTAGGTCTCTCTCATACACCTCCCTCCCTGTCTAGAGTGTCAGGTGAGAATTCGTGAGACCGCGGTGGAGGTGTATGACGACGATGAAGATGATCGCAAGCTTTCCACTGTCCAAGAAGTATCAGAATCGAGAGACATTTCCAGTCCTTCGATGTTTACTGAGAATTACCGGAACCGAAGTCGCAAATCAATTTCCAGCGATTCCGATCAGGTGATTAATGTTTCATTAAATTTCATGAACAAACGATCAGATTAAAATTATTTTTTATTCACTTCATTCAATATTTTTCTATTATGCATAGCTTATAATCGGACTTCTTAAACAACATCGTCCCTCTTATATAAGCAGATCTATCCAAGTGAATTCGAATGTATTAAATGCTGTATGGAAGAGACTCTTGTTGTATTATCAGTTTTAACAATTTTCTCCTTTTGCATTCTTATCTACGGCAATATAACAAGAGTCTGCTGTATATCTAACATATTAACATCTTCTTACTGAATAATGGATCCAATCTCCTCCATTATGAATTGTAGCTTTGAAATTTCTTGGCGAGTTCTGCACTAGATTTGTAGTACTGTTCTTCGCTCATAAGAAGTCTTGCGGAACGTAGAGGGGCAAGAGAGGGACTGACCCCTAGTTTTACACAACCCTAATTAACCAGTTAACTGCGGAATTTAGTTTCAAAAATCCTTCACTGGACGTGTAATTAAAATCAAGCAATAACGAGTATACACGTCGAACGCAGGACAAATGCTCCTATTATAAATTTTGCGAAAAAAGTAAAGCAAAACGAGGAAAGATTACATTTTTATTCGATAAAAAATTAACCATTCATTGTAATTGAAAACTTAATAATTGTCAAAAAATAGTAAAATTCATAAACAAGAAAAATTGAAGAAAAAAATAATTTTAAAAAGTTAAAATATACAGTAAAGTATACAAAACAATTCGGAGAATACCAGATGTATTGGGGAACATAATCAACTCAGTTTGTAAAAACTAATGCATTATACGGGAAATATCCAACATACTAAAGTGAATAATCAAACTTTTTTTTATAAAATACATAGCAGTTTTATTGCTAATATAAAGGAAACATACCACCAAATGATATTTTTATTGCTTCTTATTGAAATTTAGAGTTTCTATAGTAAATTGTAATTTTTTATTTTATACGACGAGCGTACTGTGCAAAGATGGAAAGAATATTAGCGGGACGGCACAGGGGCAAAGGAAGCAGTTCGCACGCTCCGCCCAATCCCCATATTTGATCCTCGCGTTTAAAGTTCATCGCAACGCTGACTTCCTACCATCTCACTTTGTCACAAAGTCTCATTTTCTTTCTTTGTCAAGCGACGCGATTAGTGTGTGACCGCATCGGCCAATAACAAGCAAAGATCTAGAATACGTATGCCGGAGGTATGACTTAACAACCACGATCCATCGTACCCGCATTCCTTCCGCTAATATTCTTTCTATCTCTGCACAGTACACGTCAATCGCACGGAAATAAAATTTTGAATTGACGTGTATACACGTCGAACGCAGTTAATTGGTTAATAAATGTGATCGCTTCGACCAATCATACGTCACGGCCGAAAGCACGTTTGAGCTGAGATGGGGCGCGACCAGTCAGATTACATTATTCTCGTGAGACTTCTTGTCAGTGGAAAGACTGTACACTGAGTCCCATCGAAGTTGTCGCAGTGAAATTATCTACACATTCACTAACACATTCACACCGCGTCGTCGGCACCTCGTCCATCGGCTCACCGTCGCGGCGTGAATGTGTTTAGTGCGCCAACTTCACTGCGACAACTTGGATGGAACTCAGTGTACATACATGAGGTAACTGATGATTGTCAAATTAATTTTTAATATTTCAGTCATAGCAACATTATCAAAAGATCAGTTTCAGGATTACTTTTTAGTTATAATCGAGTAACTTTAAACAATTCAATGATTGGTTTAGTTCTTCTTACGAGTATTAGGTGTACAAAGTAATTCGATACCTTCAGCATTCAGCCTTAATAATCACTATTTTAAATTTAAATATTTTTCCGCGCTTCTGTAGGCTTAAAAAGTGGCGCGAGAATGATAATATTTATTTTAATAATTGGAATTACTATAACTTTTTTTAAATAAGTCTTCAATTAAAATTTAATTGAAGATCCGAATTTAAGACACCGAATTAATCTGTACACCTAATAGCATTTTGTGTTTAAAAATTGTACTAAACAAATTATCAATATTCGTGTATAAGGAGTACAATTATCTAATTTATATCTGTATTATTGTTTCGAGTCGAGTGACCCAACGCGTAAGAATCGTGTGGAAACAATTAGTTCCATCTCCGACAAAGTGATGTCTTATAAAATGGATGTCAACAAATTTTCCAACGAAGATCAAACTTTCCACGTCTACAGTGATTCACCGACTTTCTCCGATTTCTCATCATAAAGTGCAACATTAAATGTTGAAATGTACGTATACGTACAAAATTTACTTTATACTTCATCAGTGCCAAGATACTATTCTAACCTCATATCTGTGTTTATTTACAAAAATCATTTGGAAATTAAGTTCCCTTTTCAGCCAGTTTTCAGAAACCACGCCCTTTTCCGCCTAGTCTTTGAGGCACTTAAGGCGCGTGCCGTATGAATGTTTCAGAGCGCATTGGTGCTACATTCCTATCAATAGATTTCTACATCACCCATGAGGTACTATATGCCGATGTGATGTTGGCGAGGCTAAGGAATGCGGGTACGATTGGTCGTCGTCGATAAATCAAAACCTCACTAATCGCGTCGCCTGACAAAAAAGAAAAATGAGACTTCGCGACAAAGCTAGATGATACGAAGTCAGCGTTGTGGCGAACTTTGAGCGTCAGGATCAAACGTGGGGACAAGGCGGACCGTGCGAAATGCTCTCTTTGCCCCTGCGACCCTGTGCCCCTGTGCCGTCCCTCTCGCCAACTTCTCATCGGTCAATAGTACTATAAATGTATCATCTAACCCAACCTAATACATCAATAATATTCACTTCTAATTGAGATTTAATGAACATTTTCACCTTAATTTTGACAAATCTTTTTTGTTTATAACTTTTTAATAAAAAGCGACACCCGACTAAAACCTTCGGGAGGACAACATACGTCAAGGTCAAGGTCATCGGAAGTAAGGCCCTAACTGCAAATATTTACCAAGCTATGTTTGAGTTTAAATATTTTCAATATTGCCGACAATAGACATTTACCTTTTTCGCACAATGGATTAAAATTTTTAATTTTCACTTCGTTCTCAATAGCTAACAGCAGGTCATAAACTCGGTTCTTCTTTGTTGGACCTTGGGGAGTCAACGCGGGTGGAAAAATCCCAGACTTTCGAGGTCCTCAATGCGCGCTGAAAAATTTATACGGTACGCGCCTGAGATGTCTCGCGGACCACGGCCCCCGCGCGGGGCCCGGCGAGTGGTGGGAGGAAAGAGGAGTGGCTTCTGAAAAATAGTCGAAAAAGTAAGTACTTAATTCCTAGCCCTGATCTATAGAATTAAAATTAGAAAAATCTAAATTCAACTTATTCGTCGATATTAATGTTATTATTAACTTTCTAGTAATAGGAGATGATCGTGTTATCATTTTACCAAGGTAAAATTGAGTATTGCCATTTCTTTTATCATGTTTATACTAAATGTGACATGAAGTAGGATGTAATTTGTATGATACTGATATTGTCATATGAAATTATTTGGATCTCTGACACTTGATAAACAAAGATAATAATATTAATTTATTAGTTCTTTATGTTTTCTAGAAATAAGTAGAGGGAAGTGAGATAAAATCGAGTATCAAATACATTGATTATTCAAAGCTGCTTCAGTGTCCAGTCATCTCATGGATAAAGTAACATCTAGGACCTACTTCAAAACATACGAAACTAATTAGTTTAGTTCAAAAATTTTTATTTTATCAAGTAATAAACTACAAATTAACATTCTGGTTTTATACCATGCTAAAGTATCCAATGTGACAAAATTTAATAAATCCAATTTTTCTACGTTCTTAAATGATTAAAAAAAACCGATTTATTCCTTAAATAACTAAATGAAATTCCATATTTACCTGAATTAATTCGTATGGTATGAGGTGGATATGTCATTTGTAGTCACAGCAGTATTTGTGACCATTATTAAATAATTCTAATATTTATTATTTAAAAAAGAAATACCTGATTTTGCCCGACTTTATCGCAGAATTGCATACTTAGTATTATGGCATTCTATTGAAGTTCGTAATGTATGTACAAAATGTTTTATACTTATGTTGGATACGTAATATTACTTTAACTGATTGAAACAATGTTTTTATTGAATTTTTGATATTATTATGATTACAGAATTTATAGGTACTTTATTTGTAAATTCTTAATTTTTTTTTTCGTTAATGTTTACAATTATATATTTCCAAATATTCTCTTTCAAAAACAAACTAATTAAATGATTGTTGAATTTTGTAAGAAATGTATAAACTGTAGATATTTCAGTTATGAATGTAACTTTGAAACAGAATATTTTTCAATGATTGTTGAATAGTTTATCATTTTTCATGTTGCAAAGGTAATTAAACTATTCTGGCATAGAATATTAAGAAGTCAGGGTACATAAATTTTTTGCCACGAAAGGAACTTTGCAGTTTAAGATTTTGATTTTAAAGTACACGCACATTGGGTTTCGAAGCTGATTTGTTATGTAATTTATTATAAATGGAAAGGTTAAAATTAAATTATTAGTTGTTGAATGACAGAAAGAATAACAAGATATAGTACTAATTATGCAATTTATCTATTTCATATTATTATTTATTAATAAATCGTATGAAATACTAGACAAAACATTTTTGAAAGGAAAGTGAAAAGATATTGAATAATAATTATTATAATTTTTTGAACTTTTTTTTAACTTTTGATTTAGAAAGGATAATGAATGTTATGTATAAATACATTATCCTAAAATACAACATTTTTGTCTCTTTTTATACTTATTCGCTTATAACACATTTTTGTGCTTTCTAAGCTTTATCGAAGAGGAAGTGAGAAATAAATTGTTTGAATAGTAACAATAAAAGATCATTATTAATACATATGTCAAGAGATAATACGCTATTAATGAAATAAAATTTATTTCTATTAAACATCTCGACTACGTAGACTCAAATGAAAAGTTCAAAATACGACAATCTATCATACATAATTCTATGATGCAAAAACGAATAGAAAAAAAAATATTTTTATTCGATGCATTACGTAGAAACACGATAAATTACTAATATTTCAACAATAGTGTCATTTGTTTTATATGAAACGAAGGACCATTCTTAGAGGTCGTCCGTCCGGAGGGTATCAAAATGTGACTGTGTATGCTTGAAGAAATGGATGGTTCTAGTCGTTTGCGACATCCACCAATAAATTTTGTTAAACAATCTTATATAAGAATTCTTAATAATTTATCATTTTTCTTTTTCACATACTGTCCATCGATCACAAGAAGTCCTATGTAGACGTTTAGTGGAAGGGGTGTGAACTCATCTCCCCGGACGTTTTTGACTCGGGCCAACGACCGCCAAGTGGCTGTGGGATCAGTACTGTTCTCACTGGCGGTCGCCCGGCGTGCGATTTGGATATTCGGATATATAGAAATTCCGAAAAGTGGTGTTATGAGCGTCGAGGACAGGGATCGTCTGTCGTCAGCCCCACTGATGAGTCTGGCAGATGATCCTGAGACAGAAATGCCATTTTCAGTCCCTACACCCATGAGAATAACGCAATCTAATTGGTCGTGCTCGACCTTAGCTCACACGTACTGTAGGGAGATGAGAAGTTGACGAATTTAAGGAATGCGGGTACGATTGGTCGTCACTGATAAGTCACACCTCACGCACACGCATTCTAGATCGTCGCGCGCTATTGGCCGATGCGATCACATACTAATCGCGTCGTTTTGCTTTCTTTTTTATTACGAGGAGGGGGAAAATGCTTTATGCACACCGGGCAGGGAGTGCAATCCCGGTAGCGTTGGACTCCGTATACAGTAAAAGCTGGATATATGCAACAAAAGTTTGGCTGGATATATGCAACATCGCTATCCCCTCCACTTGGGGGGATCCCCCTAGGTGAACCGAGCCGCTCGACGAGAAATCCGGGTAATATGATCCGACCGTAATATCGGTGTGACTAATACTAATTGAACGATAAAACTTTTTTATTCTTAACTTTTTCTTAATGAAACTTTTACTAACGCATTTGTGAGATTTTTCTGATTAAAATGATACCAAACATAAGGTAGGCCGTACACCAAAGATACATTAAACACGCAACATGCAACATGCAACACGTCGCATGTTGTGTACGAACGTAGAATAGGTATCGCGGCTGAATACAAACGATGTGTACGGACGCAGAATCGACACCTCGGCTGGATATATGCAACGTTTGAAAGCAGAACCGACACCGCAACCGGTTTTCATTTCCAACCCTCCTTTGCTTTTCGCCAACTTTTAACATTAATTTTAGCAAGTAATTATAATTGAAACTATATCGTGTTTGGTACCACTTTAATCACAAAAATCTCACCAATGCGCTAGTAAAAGATTCATTAAAAAAATGTCAAAAATAAAAAAGTTTTTTAGTTCAATTAGTATTAGTCACACCGATACGTTTCGGCTCTTTCCTTTGATAATCGGACCTCTCTCTTTCCGCCACTGTCTGTCCTTTTCTACGTTCACGCTTGGCTGGTCATCGCGTGTAACCCGAGATTCGACACCTCGGCTGGATATATGCAACGGCTTGGTCCCAATGTTTGTTGCATATATCCAGCTTTTACTGTATGTATACTAAAAACCCCCTCCTCGTACTTACCTTCGGATAGTAACTAGAACCCCCAGGAGGCCGGAACTGCTTCAGGCATTACTTCAGCCTAATCGCGTCGCCTGACAAAGAAGGAAAATGAGACTTCGCGACAAAGCGAGATGGTACGAAGTCAGCATTGCGGCGAACTTTGAAGGCGAGGATCAAATATGGGGACAGGGTGGAGCGTGTGAAGTGCTCCCTTTGCCCCTGTGTCCCGCTCTTCAACTTCTCATCTCTCTATAGTATTTTCGGTCGTGATGTATTATTGGTCAAAGCGATCATATCTATTAATTAATTGCAAGTATCCTCTCTTGCCCCTTTGCCGTCCTGCGAGATTTCTTGTGATCGGGGGACAGTATATGTAATACAAATTTAACAATTATAAAATATGATCCTTAGAAGCTTTCATTACAAACTAGAAATGAAAATAGATGTTCTAGAATCTAGATGAAATAGATTGTCTGAAGTTCACAATTTCTGTTATTAGCTTATATAATTCGAAATCCGTTTCGAAAACATCGTTTTCAAAAAGTTATATTTTTCATAATTTTTTTATTTTTAAGAATTGTATTTCTTTTTTTACTTGTTAATGTGCTAAGACCAGAAAAATAAACTAATAGGAGTAGTAAAATTTTTGACGTTCTTTCAGAGAAAAGGTTAGTGCAAATGTAACTGGATATGATAAAGGAGCAGAGGGGTTTCTGAAAATAGCAAAAATCTACGGACGACCTTTATGGACGGCTCCTAACATAGAACAAACGATCCTTCTGAAATTTAAGATTTATTTAAAATTTAGTATATTTAGTCCAATAACTAAATAATAAAGTTTCACAAATATTTAATAAATAATGAAAGCATAAAAGTGAAAGCAGTACATACGAACTTGTATACAGAATATTTAAAAAAGAATATATAGGTATTATGAAAACAGTAAATTCAATATTGCAAATGAAATCGAAAAGTCATTTGCTCTTTTATAATATGGGGCTTAATTTTCAAGAAATAAACTTGCGATCTATGAAGGTTCCCATCTATGAAGGAAATATGAAGGTTCCCATTGCCATTTTTCTTAGAGAAACTGACTATACAAGGTATCCACGATAATTGCAAACAATCTATTATTTTGTAATTATTGAAAATACAAAAGATTGCTTATATAAAAATTGTTAGTTATAGAGGGGCACATTTTTCAACGAGAAATTTTTTTTCACATTATTATTTTCTAAGGAATGGAAGCCAAGTTCGTTTTTTAAAATGAAGCTATATGTATACATTTGTTTAGATCATATTACAGTTCTTAAGACGAATTTATTGACCTTTATGTTTATACTCGGTTCCTCTCGGTTCTTTTGACAAAAATCAGTCAATTTTTAAGTAAAATCTAAACATCAAAAACTAAAAATCAAAATATACATTAACTCTTGAGCAGCGAAAACTGAATGAACCAAAATTCAAATTTACAAATCGTATACAAGAATATTAACCTAAAGTTAAACACATAATTTTTAAACGAAAGAGTTTCATATATTGAAAGAATAATTTTTAAAGGAACAGTGTAAAATTTAAAAAATGGAAATAATATGGAATATATAATTAAATTCAAATTATCGCTCTCTTCATGGTGCGCCGTTCGAAGGTTATGGAACATCTGGACTAACAGCTTATGTTCGAATTGTCTGTGGAAATTTTTTGACGCGAGAAGGATCTTCAATGAAGGCATTGTCATGGGTATGGGCATTAACGACCAAGATAGGCACAGGCACCCTAGGTGCACGCGTGCGTCGAAAGAGCTACAGAAGAAGGCAACGCCGTCCTCTGCATACATACAGGGTCCACTATTTATCTCGGAACCCGTGCGTGCGTGAACTCATGAATGTGGCAACAGCGCAATGTTTGGCATGATCGGCGATACTCTGGTCTGAGATTCGATTCAAGATACGAGTATGATTGTTTCTCTGCCGATTGCGCCCGAGTTCTGCTGAACCGAGTCGAGCCGACTCGTTGAAGAATGAACCGTCTCACTTCTCCGACTAAGCATTTATTTGACAAAATTTCTTTTCTCCTGAAATATGTACAAAGGTATTTCTCATGTGAACGACGCATAATGGCTGCGCGCTCGCGCGTGATCTCTCATTCACATGAGGTGGAAAGGGGCACTTTCCCCTTTAGTGCTTTTTCACTAGACGAACTGACACTATTACAGCCGACTCTAGTACTACTAGCCATGCTGAACAACGTGGCAACACCGCTCACGTGACAATCGGGAGTCCTATTTTCAAAAACAGAGTCCTGTGCTCGGAATTGTAATTAACGTTTTTTTTAATTAAAATCTGTAGTAATATACACTATTTTGGGCTGTTCCGAATACGACCGGTCGCCGATCAAGATGAAATTTTGAGGGGAAGGAGCGAGAGGAAAGGGGACCCCAAATATAAAGTGGTATCTTCGGCTTCCTATTAGTTTCCGAGATATTAATTAAAAATTTTCGTACAATACATAGAATTTTGCCTATACAGACGCAATTAACACTACCGTCTTCGCTGTAGCAACCGTCATCGTCAAGTGTCGAACAGCCGTTCACATCATAGCGATATCGGCTTCCGTTTCTATAGGGTGTTCCATGTAAAATCCATTTTTTTTAGTTACATTACGTTATGTATTATATTTTATTACTAATTCTCAAGGAATTAAACACATTTGATTTACCGTCACCGGAAGGCGGCCGGCAACGCTGCAACACTCGTCGTATCTCCAAAGTTTTGAATAGGACACCTTATAGATAGTCAGGTTGGAACCCCCGCTGTGTCAACGGCTGTTCGACACTTGACGATGTCAGCTTACTACACGAAGACGGTTGTGTTAGTTACGTCTGTATAGGAAAAATTCTATGTATTGTACGAAAGTTTTTAATTAATATCTCGGAAACTAATAGGAATCCGAAGATACCACTTTATATTTAGGGTCCCCTCCTCCCTCCCCCCTCCCCCTCAAAATTTCATC